GCCATCACCTCAGAGCACAGCCACAAGTCCTACCGACCCCTCACTGTCATCACATTCCGACTCAATTATCTGCTCAATGGTCTCCAGCCGTACGGCTATCATATCGTCAATGTTTTCCTCCATTTAATTGTCACTCAACTATACTTCAGGTTTTGTCTCAAGTTTGTTAACTCACGAAGAATAGCATTAATCGCTTCCACACTCTTTGCCGTTCATCCCCTCAAAACTGAAGCCGTAATACATTTAGTCTTTTAGTTGATTAGTATTTTGTTGCCACGAATTGATGGCTAATTATCTTCTTTATCGCCCGTTCAGGTGACAGGAGTGGTGGGTCGCGCGGAACTGCTGTCCACCATATTCTTCCTCATCTCATTGATGTCGTATATGAACGCGAAGTACTTCCCATTCATTATTGGTGTCATTTGTGCGATACTTAGCAAAGAGCAGGGATTGACTGTATTAGCCGTTTGTGTCACTTATGAAGTGTCCAAATGTTTCGGTCGCTCGCGAAATATCAAGAAGTCTTCGCTCTCATGTCTTCTATTGATTATATTTGGCTCAATATTAGTGATACTAAGGCTCAGCATAATGGGTGGTAAACACCAACTGCCGGTGTTCACCAAGTTCGACAACCCGGCCTCCTTTGAGCCCTACCCCACCCGACAACTCACTTACAACTTCTTACTCCCATTGAATGCATTATTGCTCTTATTTCCATACAATCTGTGCTGCGATTGGACCATGAGATCCATTGGTCTCATCCACGACATCGACGATCCCAGAAATGTGTGGACTCTTGTATTCTATGCAACACTTATAGCGCTAGTCATCAGATCTCTTGTCGATCTGTTTCGCTACCGAAGCAATCGATTACTTATAATACTGTCGTTAATAGTCTTTCCATTCATTCCGGCGTCTAATCTGTTCTTTTCGGTCGGCTTTGTGATCGCCGAACGAACTCTTTATATCCCGAGCACCGGCTTCTCACTACTGGTGGCCATCGGTTGGACTGCAATTGAGGATCGCTTCCCAAACAGACCTAAACTCAAAGAGTGTCTTCTAATTATGTTTTGTGTGACAATCGGTTTGTTTTGTCTGAAGACTCAGATTAGGAATAATGACTGGAAGGACGAGTTGTCACTGTTCTCGTCGGCCATTAAAGTGAATCCAAATAACGCCAAACTGTACAATAATGTGGGCCACCATTACGAGCGCCACAAAGAGTTTGACAGAGCGTTGCAGTACTTCCAGAAGGCGTCTGAACTGCAGAGCGACGACTTGGGCTCTCATATCAATATCGCGCGAACTCTCATCAATTTGGGCCAACACTCCAAAGCCGAGCAAATGCTTTGGAAACTTAAGCCTAAAGTGAAACTCTCGGCCATTAATAACCGAATTATTCCCAATTATCTCAATCTGTGGATCAATTTGGCGAACATTATCGTCAAGAATGAGACGAGACTTCCGGAGGCGGAAAATGTAAGCAATGAATCACTTTATTGTTTAGAAAATTATTTTAATATTTCGTTTCATTTGAGTAGTTATACAAAGAGCTGATAGGAATGCGTTCGGACTTCGTTGAGGCCTATATTAATTTGGGAGACATTCTCATCCGTCAGTCCAAACTGACCGAAGCGGTCGATATCTACCGCAGAGGCCTGTCGTTGGCACAAATCGACAGGAGAGCCGACCTGTACTTCAATTTAGGTGTCGTTCACTCAATGCTTCTGAGGGCCTCGAGTCCGGTGAACAATATCAACGAAAAGGTGTTATTAATCGCTGAATACTTCATGAATTCAACGCTATTTAACGGCAATCATAAGGAATCGATCGTCAATTTGGCGATTCTTTTGCAACAATACGAACCCATTCTGAGTCCATACAGAGACTCATTGATCCACAAAATGAAGAGCTATACCGGTGTCGACCCGGAGATGGTTTACTTCAACTTAGCTCTACTGCTGTCCGACTCGGGCGACAACCGGTCGGCCATTCATTACCTCAAGCAAGCGATTGAATTAAGAAACGACTTCCGGAGCGCTTTATTCAATTTAGCGCTCATTTTGATCGATAGACACGACTATATGGAAGCCCAACACTATTTGAATCAATTGATACACTATTATCCAAATCACACCAAAAGTCTTCTACTCATTGGAAACCTTTATGTCAATCATTTGAATGATTTACAAAACGCAGAGAAAGTAAGCCATTATTCATTACATTTAATCTCTAATTATTTGATATATTCCTAAAATGATGGCAACTTTTGCTTCATTTCAGAGTTATTTAAAAGTTTTGAAATATAATGAGTCAGATATGGAAGCGTTACATAACTTATGTGTTGTTTATCACAAACAAAACAAGACTAATGAGACCAACGAGTGCTTCCAGAAGTTCAATGCGAAACAAACTGTCATATCAGGTGACACCACGTGATTGACAAGTGGAGGAATGGCAACAAATGATGATTTTATTTATAAAAGTAGATAATTTTATATTTGAAAAACACGTCTAAAATATGTTCAATCGTGACATCAATATATCTCCAAAACAATTCAGTTATAATACATTAGTAATGTTGTGATTATAATGTCACTATTCACCGCCTCCCCCATCGCCGCCACCACCACCTCCCCCATCGCCACCGCCATCACCTCCACCGCCGTCCCCACCATCTCCGCCGTGGTGACCACCGTTTCCCCCGTCACCACCCGTTATGTTATCAGCGAAAGTTACGGCCCAATCAAAGTCCCCGGTGTCTGAATAGTCGCCATCGTGTCCATCATTATCATGAAAACCCCTGCCGGAGTGTCCCTTTCGGAAGTGTGTGGGAACGGGAGGTGCGGTTATTGTGGGCACAAAACACACGTTCATACAGAATACACATCCAAAACAAGCGCACGGGTCGGGAGCAGATGTGCTGTGGGGACAGGGATTGCGTTAGAGTTGTGTTCAATTAGTCTTTCATCGCATTAATCGTCAATTTATTTCATATCAAGTGATATATACTTAGGTCTGAGCCCTAAAGCAGCCAACTCTTCCTCTTCAGACAATTTGGGTTTGTTTTGACAACTCGTGGGCTGACTATCAATGACCACCTCTTGACGATTGTCTTCATTTGTTTTGTTTTCGTTGTTTTCTTTATTTGTTGACATATTTTAATTGATTTGTTATTATGATTGTGATTACATCTCACGAATTAAATTCAGTTAAAAAAACTTGTGTTAAATATGGAGAACTTTTTAAATGTATTTCATTGGTTGCATTTAATTCATGTAAACAAACTTTTTATTCATATCCAAGGTTGATTACTTTGGGTTAGTTCTGGTGTCGTTATGGCAACATATAGCATACCAGTGCTAGGTGGGACAGGTAGGTGTTTCAATTCAGTGAGGCTTTGGTACAGTATTGGCAGGTATTATTAAATTGGTTTATTATTATAACTTATAGTCTAATTATTAGGGTATTAGAGTCCAATACATACTAACGGTAATACAATAGTATCACATACAGGCGAGTAGGGTAACAATAATTTCAATTAAATATAACAAATACTGTACATGGTCATATTTGATTTGACTTCACTATATTTTTTAAATAGCAAACTTATATTAATTTAAGTTCCAGTGTATATTAACATTAATTGAGTTTTAATATGGTTATGAAATTAGTAATTGTAATATATAAATATGTTTTATATGTATATAGGGTAAGGTCATTAATAAACCCCATTAATGTTAACTGGTAAATTTACCCTCACCACCAGCATAGCAACTACTATCACTGCTACTATCGCTGTCACTATCACTGCTACTATCGCTGTCACTATCATCGCCCCAATTCAATGGTAATAAGGTGATATTAGTAGTGAGAAAGAGTGCCCAGGCTAAGTTACTGACGTCCGGACCCGAAGTCGTGCCATTGTGCGCTGTATGTGGCGGCATAAAACACAGGTTCACACAAAATACACATCCAAAACAATCACACGGGTCGGGGGAGACCGTACTGTTGGGCACAGGGAGTGAATTAGATTTCAGTTCAAGTAGTCTTACAGTTATTAATTGTAATATCAAGTGATATATACTTAGGTCTGAGGCCTAAAGTGGCCAACTCTTCCTCTTCGGACAATTTGGGTTCGTTTAGACAACTCGTGGGCTGACTATCAATGACCACTTCTTGATGATTGTCTTCATTTGTTTTGGTTTCGTTGTTCTCATTATTTGTTGACATATTTTAATTGATTTGTTATTATAATGACATCTTTTTAATTAAAATTTACAATTAAAACTCGTGTTAAATATGGATAACTTTTTAAATGCATTTCATTAGTTTTCATTCAAATATTTTGCCAACTTTTCATTGATTTTATAAAACAACTTGTTAGTTAATTACTTTGGGTTAGATCTGGTAATAGATACCAGACTGGTATTATAGAATAGCATACCTGTGCCACATGGGAAACAGAAAACTCATATTGACAGCTACAGTATATTATTAAATAATTCTATGATATTCTAGGTCTAGTTTATAGTATAAACTTTATATCTAATATCAAATAAGCACTGTACATAACAGAAATATAATATTTTATTTGACTTATTTCTAATAAATAGCAAATATTTATTGTATTTTTAACATTTTTATTTAAATACCATTATATTCTAATGTATGGTATTATCATTAATTGAGTTTTAATATAGGTACGAAACTGTAGTAATTATATTTAGTTTGCAAAAATGATTTAAATTAAAATTTTAATTAATTTTTAATACAGTACTATATATAATATAAAATATATTAATATCGATTGGTTATAAAAAATTAATGATAATAATTTTTTGCTATTTGTTTGAGAATCTGTTTTAAAATCACTAATTAATTGTTTAAAGCCTTTTTATTTCTCGTTTTATCTAAACATTTGCAATAATTTTCTCTATATTTATTAATTGGCACCTAAATATAAAGCATAGCATTTAATTACTTACAATTATTTCTTAAATAGCTTTAAAATTGTTTTTATGATTGCTGTTACTTTTAATCGTGTCTATCCATAATAATTTTGCTAATTTATAACTCATTTAATAATGATCTTTAAAAATTAGAGTTTTAATCAATCTATAATATAGATTCTATATAATATATAATATTATTATAAATAAAACATTTCGTGTTTAGATTTTTTTATTGCAACTTTATGTGTATTTTTAAAAACCAATTGTTTTAGAATTTTTATATGTAAATGCAATTATTGTCCTTTATGAATTATACATATTAATGTAGTTTATAATTTCAATATGAATTTTATTAAATTTTAATTTCCTAGTTATAAATACTGAATGTAAGTATTTCCTAAACCAAGGTAAGTTACAAACTTTTAAAAGTCATTAATGCATCATAAAAATTAAAATAATTTCAATATCTAAATGTTTTTTTTTGATACCGGTAATGATTTTAATTTTAATTTTAATTACTCAATCGATTAATTTAAATAAATTATTTTGAAATATATTTTATTTCGGTTAATCTAAATCCGAGGATTTATTGACAAATTTAAACAAATTATACATTTGATCTCATTTGATGTCATGACTTGTGGTGCCCTTAACTGTCAAAACCAAAACTTATGGATTAAGATTTTGTTAACAAACTTAGATTTACTAATTTCAGTAAATAAGAAATATCATGTCTTGAGAGAAACTATCTTTTGCTTTTACTTATTGTTTATTATCTAAAAACTATGTAACATAGTCTATGTTGTAATAGATACTAGTGTTTGTTATCTAACATTTAATAGATTTTAAAAATCTATTATCTAACATTTACACAGAAAATCCAATGATTTATTTAAAATAATTATTAACGATTAAAAAGAAAAGTTTGCAAAATTTTATTTTTCAATTTATTTCAAATAAATAATTTATATGGTTTCTATGTTTAAATTGGTTTGGTTTTCAGACTCCGACTTATGTAAGCTGTTAATTGAATGACTATTTTTATATTGATTTTGTGACGAAGATTTCAGCCTTTTATTGGCGATAACTCTATTGGCAAAGAATGCCAGAGCCGTGAGAACCACTCCGACCACGACCCCCACCACCACGAGTAGGCTGTGCTGGAAGTTAAACCACGAGCTCTCTGATGATGAGCTCTCTTTATCATCACTTTGAGACCTATTCAATGAATATGACTTCCCGTCGCCTTTTTCTTGACATTCTTTGACCCAATCTTTTTGGGTTATAGAGAATTCTTTGACACTTTCCGCGAAATTATTTAATTTGCATTCACTTTGGGTTTCATTCAATAGACAGGTCTTGAGCTCCAGTTTAGTGTACGTGAGAACTGGCGTCACATTTGCGTAAAACAGATGAACAAAGTATTGGCCATCGATTTGGTGTAATTCAAAGAGAAGGGCCGCTCCATAGGACGGGGGGTCACCGCTATACAGACCCAACGCCTCCAATAGGGTAACCAGAAGAGTGTCGTGAGTGGAGTAGTCGTACACCTTAACGGTTGGGGTCTTAATAGAGGCGTCGACCATCTTAGTGGTCAACTCATTGAACATGACACCCCCTCTAAGTCTCTGTACTTTCTTTGAAGACCAGTCATACTTAAAGGCATTTGACTCGAAATTTTTAAGTCTATCCAACGTGTCGTTCCCCAACTCCTGCACCCATTTAGGCGCCGGCTTTGGCTCATCGAAATTCATTTCATGATTAATAGTATCGTATAAATAATCCAAATCTCTTAAAGTTTTATAATTTTCTCCCGTCTTCTCATTGATTTGTTTAATAAAATCTTTGTTTTTCTCCAATAAGTCTGTCACCGGCTTTGAGTGCATTATCTCCTGATAGGCGGCATCGGCTGCCGGACAGTCAGAGTTGGGCACAAGAAGACCATCTTCTGCTTTGAGAACCGTTTGAATGGCAATCGGTTGCCATAACTGTGCGATGGCGTCCTTTTCAGACCAAATCCATCTGTTTTTTGGCGGATAGAGTCCGGTCGCCAGTGCCGACGCGCTCTCTAAGCACCTATGGGGGGAAGGCATTAAATATTTGTTTCAATTTTAATCGTTTGTTTGTAAAAATATTAGAAATCAAATAACCGAAAATTAATTATCAATCAAGACGAACCGGTCAGACGATGAACTTCTTATTTGCATATTTTTTGGTGAATCCCCCAAAAAGGTGTCCCCATATCGTTGCCGTAAAAGTTGTCCAAAAGTATACATCCGGTGCTTACCTCTGGGGGTCAATTCGCCCAACCCGTCCACCCATTTCTCCTGTTTGTACGGATCGTTCTTATAGAAGGCTATATTCATAAGAATATTGGATTTAACTCTTTTTTGATGACCATATCTGAGAAGCCAATATGAGATGAGTCTCTGAAAAAATGCTTTTCTTTCTACTTTAAATATTGCTTTCGTGTCAATTTTGAAATGCTATGTATAAACTGATTACTTTTAAACATTACACGAAAGCAATATTTAAAGAAGAAATAAAAGCCTTTTTTCAGAGACTCATCTCATATTGGCTCAGATATAGTATTTTTTCGACCTATAGGTGTCCGATCCCCATGTCTGTGAATTATCTGCAGTAATACCAGAGTTGACGTGTCGTATGAATTGACATAGTTTAGGCAAATAATGGCCAAAATCAACACGGTGCTTATTTGCACAATACTCATTTTTAATACAAAATAAATTTTTAATTCAACATTAAATTGAAAATATAAGTCCACTTTTATTTAAACGTTATATAAAGGTTATATAAACCTAATTAAAATCAGATGCACTTTTTGTGCACTTTGTTTGCTTTCTTTGAAGAGGATTTTATATGAAGTAGTTTTCATTGAATATCAATAAAACAAAAGCACAAGTGATCCAAAAGTGATAAAACGTACAAAACGCTTGAAACATTTAATAAGATATCGATATTTCATATAATATAGTTATTTAGGGCATTATATACTACTGTAAATGTTAATTTACCGATAGTTTCAAATTACAGGTAAACGAATAGAGTATTGGAGCTAACTTTGTTTTTTGATAAGTATACTATTGTTTTATTTAAACCTAAATACAGTAGGTTTATGTATTTCAAGGATATGCCTTTAATTTTCCTAAAATGTTTGCTTTAATTTTGAATCAATATTTTCAATTTGGTATTGAATTTATTCCAAATAAATTAATAACAAGAGTTTATTAAAACTGTATAAATATGGTAATAACCTTTAGGAATCACTTGAGAAAAGTCAATATATCTTTGTACCCATCATATGTGATCGATTTAAATCATTTTAAGATCATTTCATTTTTTACAAATCTTGAGACCATTTTTTAAATTGATTTTAACAACGATTTTCTTAATCTTAATCTTACTTTTTATAGTTAAAATAGGAATCATTAAACATTTTATAATAAATCATTGATATTTTTATAGTTGTATAAACATCATTATATAAAAGTCACTGATCTTAAATAAATAAACAAAATAAGGTTAGAAAAGTAGACTTACTTTTTAATCTTAGATTACAATTACAGTAATTAATTACATCGATCAAAAGTAATTAAATGATACTAAACTCGCAAATGCTTTCATTGTTAACATGCAAACTATTTGGACTACAAAATACTATTACCGGTATTTGTATTCTTGGTATTTATAATCACATAAAAATTGTTTAGAATATAGACTTGAATTTCAATTTGAATCCAATTGTGGTTACAATTAATCGATTCTGTGGAGAATGAGTCTTAAGTCTTAATATTTTCTATTGGAAAAAGAAATGCAAAAAGAGTGGTAAAGATCAACCAAATGAAAGCTCATCCCAATCGCGCGCACAGACCAGACCACCGGTGCAGCCAACTGTCTATCCAACCCAATCACCACAAGTGAGTCAACCACAGCCCCAGCAGATAGATCCGACACCAAAAACACTGAGCCCTCAGCAACAGCCCCTTCCTCCACAACAGATCCAATACAATCCACAATTTCAATACAC